CATTGGAGCTGCACAGGGACAAAGAATGTAGAGAATATCGCTAAAAGGATAAGCGTATTCGCGATTTACATCAAAAGTGCAAGGGCATAGATTATTTTGTTTGAGCTGAAATTTGGAATATTTATTGCTTATAGGGTGAATATTTGTGCTGGGAGCTTTTCCTGATCTGCAAAACATTATTTTTATTTCTAACAGAATTTAAGCAAAGTGGAAATTTTTGATTCATTATAAGCATTTTCGGCAAAATTTTCAGTTCTTTACTAGCTCCCAGCACTTTTTTGGGTAGAGGAAATAAACATCTTTTAATTTGTATCATTTTTTGTTCTTGAAAAGCAAGCATATGCCCTTGCACTATCATCATTTCCTATACTCAGCTTAACAATTCTATTTTTATACAAGTCATGTGACAAACATCTGATACATGCGATATAACTGGTAAAAACTACGGCCTAGTCCTATCCATTATTGATAGCTATATTACATTTTCTACAAGTATTCAGTTGCTTTGTTACAATTTTTAAAAAAAGAAGTAATACATTAAAACGCTTCAAAGGTAACATTTTCCATATCGTTCCTTAACAAATCTGAGTATTGCATATGCATGTATGGGGTCTCTGTCGAATTCGGTCAAGCAACTTCACTTATATCAGCTGTTTGTTACGTGACACGTTTAAAATTAGAAAAAATGTACGGCTATAAAGATCGTAAAATTATTAATAAAGTGTTTTGAAACGATATACGATTTATTGTTTACTATGAAATTGTGTTTCTTTTATAGGACAAATTATTTAACCCGAAAAGTGCTAGGAGCAACTTCCGGGAATAATAAAATATTTAGCGGTCTTTTGATAAACTTCGTACATTAAGATAATACGCATTGAAATAATGTAAAATTTTGGAAAAAAGCAACAACTTGCTCTCCAAAGTTTTCAAAATTGTATGGACATTAGCTACAAGTGTATAGAAAAATTATAGTTAAGCGGATATCGCTGAACTTTTGAGGTTTTCGAGGGGTTGTGCCTGTGATTTTAGTACATTTATGTAATAAATGTACATTATTGCGGCTTTCAATGAGACCTAGTCGCTTCTAATGTAATAAGACTGGAAAATATTGATTAATGCATTCAGAAATATGACACATTTTTGTCAGATCACGCCTATTTCGTTTTAACTTTCACAACCACAAGCTTCACTGATAGCTTTAACTACGTCTCAAGTACAGAAAAAACTGCGTTTCAAACTAGTCTATGACGTCATCGCAGTCAGTACAGCGAGATCAAGGTGTTTTAACGACAAGATAAGTTATACATTGATTTATATTAACAATATGTATGGAAAATGACGGCATGGGATAGTGTATGAAAAAGAAAATAGTATTTATTCGCCGATATTCATTGGCATAATTTTACCGTGACGTCATAATCGATTTCGATTATGCATTGCGCTGCCATAAAATAGAAAAATAGACTGCCTGCAGCTTATAACATGTGTTTGCACAATACAGTTAAAAAGCAGTGAAACAAGATGTGTTTGTAAAACACTATGTGCCCGGCGGCAAAAAGGATTAGAAAAAGCTATTTTTAGCATTTAAGTCTTAGTCAAGGTCATAAGGTTATTGACCTTGGTGTCGTTTGAAAAAACTTAATTAGTGGAGAATGTATATAAAATATGAAGTCTCTATCTTCTATTGTTCAAAAGACATGGTGAAAGTTCGAAAAAATTTTTTAAGTATATAGGTCACAGTCAAGGTCACATGGTCATTGAACTTGTCATTTGAAAGATTTTTATTAGTAAAATATGCATATCAAATATAGTGTCTCTACCTTACATGGTTCAAAAGTTTTCTAGTTGAACATAATCTTTTTACAACATTTATGCAATTAATTCAACAAGGACATCGTCAAATACGAAAGGATATGCATGTATTACATGTACTCGATCTAATTTCACTTTGCATGCGATGACATGAATAGTTGTGAATCCACTTTAAGAACATCAGTTAATAAATGTACAGTACATACGATCAAAGTACTCCAAGTATGAATCATTTATAGTGTTAAATTAATATGCCGAGATTTGTGTTTTAAATACAAATAAAATATGGAAACTTGAAATGATCAAACTTTACCATAACCAGAAGCAGGAAAGATTGCACATTTCCTTTCTCTGAACTGATCTCTCAGTAAAGAAGACCTGACGGATATACTTCTGATAATAAGTTATTTTAAAGCTAAAATGAGCTGACACCCAACATCTACAAGCCAGTTTTTAAGTAGAGACAAGCTAATCGATGTTACCCGTAGAATATAAAGAGAGGTATGTTTAGTTGTAGAATATTTTTTTTCTAAAATGTATTTTCTTTACATTCAGTGGGGGTTATCTTTTCTTTCCATGTTTGTTTTGATTGAAATTTCACGTGGCCGGTGGAAATAAACGCGTCTAATATACTAATTTTCTGACCAATTTATAAATTTATCAAATTCATTGATTATTTTTATAAGCATGGGGTTTTATTTAACGGGAATTCTACTATTGCATATACATGTATATATGGGGTCTCTGCCAAATTCGGTCAAGCAACTTCACTTACATCAGTTGTTTGTCACATGAAACATTTAACATAAAGAAAAAAGTATAGGACTAGAAAGATCGTAAAAGTTCAACGATATACGAATACATGTAATTGCATACTATGAAAGTGTGTTTCATTTAGGACAAATTCTTTAACCCGAAAAGTACTGGGAGCAACTTTTTCATGCAGGGGAATAATATAAAATTTAGCCGTCTTTTGACAATTTTCGTACATTAAGAAAAAATTAGGATATTGCATATACATGTATATATGAGGTGTCTGCCAAATTCGGTCAAGCAACTTCACTTACATGAGCTGTTTGTCACATGAAACGTTTAACATTAGGAGAAAAGTGTAGGACTATAAAGATCGTAAAAGTTCAACGATATACGAATACATGTAATTGCATACTATGAAATTGTGTTTTGTTTAGGACAAGTTCTTTAACCCGAAAAGTGCTGGGAACAACTTTCTCATGCTCGAGAATAATATAAAATTAAGTCGTCTTTTGATAAACTTCATACATTAAGATTATACGCATTGAAATAATGTAAATTTTTTGCAAAAACAACAGCGCACAAATTGCTCTCAAAATTTTTCAAAATTGTAGGGACAATAGCTACAAATGTATTTTAAAAAAAATCATAATTTATAGTTAAGAGAATATTGTTGAACTTTTGTGATTTTAGAGGGGTTGTGCCTGTGATTGTAGTATATGTATGTATAAATGTACATCATATTACGGCTTCATATGAGACCTTATCGCTTCTAATTTAATAAGAATGGAAAATACTGATTCATGTATTCAAAAATATGACTAAATTTTTGTCAGATCACGCCTATTTTGTTTTAATTTTCATATTTACAAGCATCATTGACATCTTCAACTACGTCTCAAGCACAAAGAAACTGCGTGTCAAACTAGTCGATGACGTCATCACTTTCAGTACATGGAGATTAAGGTGTTAAAACGACAAAATAAGTTATACATTGATTTATTTTTACAGTATTTATGATAAATGACTGCATGTAATAGCGAATGAAAAAGAAAATAGTATTTATTTGCCGATATTCATATGCACAGTTTTACCGTGACGTCATAATCGATTTCTCGAAGATCTGCATAAGCTGAGGTACCTAAGTGATCGAGTCCTCAGCCTAGCGGCGTTAAAAATTACGTAATTAGTTTAAAATATGAATAAATTATGACTTTAGTTCATTAATACATCATACAACATGATTAATTACCTTAAAGCTCATTTTTCTAATTAATGGGAAAATCTGTCCGCGCATAAATATTAGATGCACGGATCAAGAAGTAAACAAAAATTCACCCATAATGCATTGCTCAGGCATGAAATAGAAAATTAGACTGCCTGCAGCTTACAACCCGCAAATAAAAAATTAAGTCTATGTCTCCTATGGTTCAAAAGTAATGATGAAAGTTAGAAAAAGCTTTTTAAAGCATATTTGTCACAGTCAAGGTCACAATTGACCTTGGTGTCATTTCAAAGAACTTTATTAGTGGAGTATGTATACCAAATAAAGTGCCTCTACCTCTCATGGTTCAAAAGTTATGGCAAAGATTAAAGTTGACAACAGACAGACAGACAAATAGACAAACACAAACAGACAAACAGATAAACAAACAAACAGACAGGACAAAAACAACATACACCCTAGGTCTATCGATCCAGGCGCATAAAAACATAATTTAATCAAAACATCTACTTGAACATAATATTTTTACAACATTTATGCAATTATTTCAACAAGGACATCGTCAAATACGAAAGGATATGCATGTATTACACATACTCGTTCTACTTTTACTTTGCATTGCGTGTCCTGAAAAGTTGTGAATCCAGTTTTAGAACATCACTTAATAAATGTACAGTACATACGATCAAAGTACTCCAAGTATGAATCATTTATAGTGTTAAATTAATATGCCGAGATTTGTGTTTTAAATACAAATAAAATATGGAAACTTGAAATGATCAAACTTTACCATAACCAGAAGCAGGAAAGATTGCACATTTCCTTTCTCTGAACTGATCTCTCAGTAAAGAAGACCTGACGGATATACTTCTGATAATAAGTTATTTTAAAGCTAAAATGAGCTGACACCCAATATCTACAAGCCAGTTTTTAAGCAGAGACAAGCTAATCGATGTTACCCATAGAATATAAAGAGAGGTATGTTATGTTAGAATTTTTTTTTCTAAAATGTATTTTCTCTACATTCAGTGGGGTTATCTTTTCTTTCCATGTTTGTTGTGATTGAAATTTCACGTGGCCGGTGAAAATTAACGCGTCCAATATACTAATTTTCTGACCAAATTATCAATTTATGTACGAGGAAGAAAAGGTCTTTTATTTGTACTTTGAACTTCTTGAAGTATTTCATTTGAAAAAAAAGTCGTGCTTTGAGGATTAAACTCCATACTTCAGCAAAGTGTTCAACAGTATCACTGTCTACTATTTCGAAGTAACTATGATTGATGAAAACGCAGAGATTAGGAAGGTATTGTTTATTTTCTCACAAAGCAACACGGATAGATATATTGTCATTTGGTATACAACATATACATTGTTACAATGCATATTTGATAATATAATTTTCAGATATAAATAAAAGCTTGGCACTGAACAGAAGGATTGATATAAAACATTGGAATCGATCATGAATATAATTCACATTACGTTTGTATACCAAGGATAACCAATGAAAACCAATGGCTAATTTTTAATATGTTCCTTATCTCATACATGTATTTCGCATGTTAAATGAAGGGAACGGATTTAGTTGACAACACATTGATCCTGAAAAAAAAAAAATTAAATTGTAGTATGTATATATTCCAAATCTTCATATGATCGAAATCGTAACCGCTAATAATAAGAAGAAAAAAAATAAATCACGACTTGACTTTTACACTAGGCAACATCCCTTTCTAACAAAAAAATCTTTATATTTCTTTTAAAAGCAAACTTATTTCCAGTATATAAAACAGGGTTAAGTTTTGTTGGTAACATGTTCCAGTCTTTTATTCCATTACAATAAAACGATTTGGATTGTTTTTTTTTGCTTAATTAATGGTGCATCAATATCTGCATTTGAGGCTTATCTGGTATGATAATTGCTAAAATTCCACCAAATTAAAAAAAAAAATGTTCAGGAAGATAAAAAAGATTTTTCCTTGAAAAAGACCCCATCTTGAATATTTTAATAAATTTAGTTGATTAAGTATTGCGTAATTCACAGATGCCCGTGGACCTAAATTCAAATTGAATCGAACCATCTAGTTTTTGCAGATTTGTAACTTTTTCTTTTAAGTTTTGGATAGCCCTGAATACCAAGCAATACCGGCGTAATCGATATGACATTGTATAAATTCTTAACACAGAGTCATTTTACAAGAAAAAAATCTAAAAAGGAGCATGTGGGTACTAAAATGGTAATCTATTATTTCTTTTCTCAACAATGTAAAGGGATATTTACTCTCAATGATAACAGGATAAGACCAATATTTAAAAAAAACATCCTAGTGACTTATAAACATACACTGTGTAAACCGCGTTAAGTAACCAGAAGCAGGCAATACCCAGTATTACACATTGCCTTTCTCTGAACTGAACTGATCTCTCAGTAAAGAAGACCTGATATTCGTCTGATAATCTGCTTTTTTTATAGCTAAAATTAGCTGACACCAAACATCTACAAGCCAGTGTTTAACTCGAGACACGTCTTACCACTGTTACCCATTGAATACAAAGAGAGGTATGTTTAATTGTAAAATCATTTTTCAACGTATTTTCTTTTCATTTAAAATGAGTGGTTGGTGTTCACTTTTATCATTTTTAAGTATAAACAATAATGTGTCATTTCTGTTAACTAAAAAAATACTTTTTTACAGTTTGCTGAGAAATGGGATTTTATAAAACAGATATTTCGATTACCACATCTGAACCTTCTAAATTGAATGCATCTCATATTGATGAAGAGGCAGAATTGAATTACAAAAATATATATTGGTCTCTATTTGACGGAACCCTTCAGAGAAGCTGGAAAGAAACAGAACATGGTTCTTCATACTATCATGATTTTTTAAAAGAATTTTCCGTGTCGTTCTATTTATTCAGCGCAAGGGCTATTGGTTCGACATCGGAAGAATTTGAGAAATCAACCACTGTGTTGGCATTGATAATCTTAATACTGGGTTTCGTGGGAAATGTTGTGACCATCTGCACAGTTTTTTGCTATAAAAAATTTCATACTCCAACATTTGTTGCCATCGGATGCCTTGCATTTTTCGATATGCTTAATATCATCTCGGCGATGTTAGATAAATTTTCGACTTTGTTTACTTATCTTGAAATTCAACATCTTGTTTTCAATAGAGCTTTTGGGAGTATGATGACTTATTTTCTACGTGAAGTAGTTCTAAGCTGTTCAAGTTCACAAATTGTTTTCCTCTATATGATCAGATATTTATTAACCGTTCATCCCTTACAGAGCAAGATACGACTTACCCCGTCAATTGTTCTGGCATGCTCTGTGATGATTTGTATTTTTCTTTCACTGTTTTCAGCTTTCAGATTAATAATTATAACAACGATTATTAAAGATTCACTTCATCTGTATAAAATCATTCGTCTTATCTCCGGTATCATTTATACTCTTTTGGGGTTGCTTTCTGTCTGTACAATCATTATTATACACATCAAAAAAGAGAAAGCAATAAAAAACTCTTTTGTTAGAAACAACATTCATAGAAAAATGAATGTCACTATTTCCATTATATTGTCAGTTTATATTTGCTTTCAAATATCAGTTTTAATAAATAGCTCTGCTTTTTTTGCTTATAAGCTAAATAATATTTCAGAGACCTTTTTACTATACACATACTATGTAGCATTACTCTTCGCATTTTTGAATTTCTCTAGTAATCCTTATATACTCTTTTTTGCTTCACAGATCGTTTCATAACAAAACATAATCACCAATCATAAAAGAAGTGAACTGTTGAAGGACTTACTTTATTTGGATTGCTACACTTTGCATTTGAAATTTATCATGTACTGATCTGTATTACAATTTAGCAAGGAATTCAAAAGTCTAATTTATACCCTTGTTATAGACACTTTACATGTATGCATACCATTTAAAGTACTTCTAAAAATATCATTATGGCCCTTTTTATTGCTTAACTGCAAATAAGTCAAATTTATTTGTGCATGTCAAGAGTTGGCTCAATAAATAATGCTTTTTTTAATTTTGAATATACTGAAAAGAAAGAAATTTTTACATTTAATTGTAAAACCAATCCTCTTGTAGGAGGGCTGTCCCAGAAAAACACGAACATTTTCCATATTTTTTGTTCCACTAATACATGTATTAGACAGATAAAAATTGGTATACAACATAATCAATATTTGTTTAATAATTCACAGAAATTCCAATGAAATATCTCTATAAAACATTTTTTTATATCTGATTAAAAAATCATTCAGAATAACAATGGGCACAACACGGATAACGTCAAAACGTCACTCGTTTTTTTTTTATTATTTTAGAAAACATGCATTTTTTACAAAATTGTTCGAAGCATTCCAGCAGGCACGCAACGTTGTTTCAACCTTGAAAGGAGGTGGAATATAGTTTGCAATGTTGAGTAACTATATTTCAACGTTGTTTCAACGTTGAGGTTTCAACGTTGAATCTTCAACCTTTTTTCAACGTTGAAACAACGTTTCCTCAACATATTTTCAACGTTGAGTATTTTCTGATAATGTAGAGTTGAAACAAGGTTTAAAAATGCAAAGTTGAATGTTTGATGATTTCAACGTTGAAACAATGTGGAAGATGCAACATATTTTCAATTTTAAGAAAGTTAGAAAAATTAATGTTGAAACAACGGGGAATGAGTACATTAGTTTTCAAAGTCAAAATAGAAAGGGGTCTTAATCCATGCTATTTTTTCGCAATATACACACAACTGTATGCATTGTTAGAAATTATAATTGTTCATAATAAATGAAACGCATGCATTATGATTTGATTTACTCAAAAGAGTTGTGCCAATAGTACCATTATAAACTTTTAAATAGGAGTTTATATGAAGTATGACATTAAAAATGTATGCTGTTGCTACTCCAGTGTAAAATTTTCATTTTTGGCAAAGGATGACTCAGAACCATGCAGTGCTGATTTATGCAACGCGGATCAACAATATTAATACGGTAACGATATTAATGCCGTACGTAATAACTGGTAGTCGTCCAGAGCTTTTCATTTTACTCTGGTTAAATTCATTGAAAATAAAACGTATACCAATTACCAATATGACCATAAGACATTATTTTTTCTCGTTGTTATTGTTTTAGCAGGTCGTTCAGTCTGGAAAAGAGTTCTACATTGCGCTACACAAAATTTTAGGTATACTGGCTGCTCCGCGCTTGACGTCAAAATTCATTTTGTCGTTGTTAAAAGATTTCTCTACCGCGCTTAACTTTCTTATGATCTTCGTATTTCTGACAATAACTTTGACAAAGTTGCACTTGTAATGGGTCCACGAAGAAAACTCCATGGAACAAAGAAAAAAAGCTTGTATTCAATAAGATAATAGACCTGGGAATAAAAACTGCTTTGCGCCTACAAAAAGAGTTCGTGTTTGTTGGTAAGGTCCCAGAATAAAATGAAAGATATTGAGCCTACGCGTGTTGAAACAATGAAACACACATTCTTAAATATTGCCTTACTGGTAATTCTAATCCCTACCGACAAGTGTAATCTGGTCGCATTGAAAATTAAAAATGTCATTACTCCGTCAAAATTCACTGAAAAGGAATTAAATTTAAACTTGATCTATCATTTAGGTGAAGTCACATAATATAAATCAGCTCAATATTCGCAAGTCTTGAGGAAGAAAATGAGAAGATCCCGAAAAACATAAAAAATCCGTCAAAAATCATTGAAGCGGATAGAAATTCAAAGTTGATCTGTAACAGAAGCGTGTAGAACATATGTATGGAGGAGAAACCAAGGGGAGGAACTGACAGACAAAGAGACAAAGGTGGAAGAAACCTAAAGTCCCCTGGAGTTTCACGGTAGTAGTAAGGGTACGGAAGAGTGTAATCTGTTATGTTTCTGATATTAGGTCAGGTTTCTTAGTATTTGTAAAGAAACTCGGATCAACCAGAAATATGTATTAAAAAATTAGGCCACACCAATAAAAAAATTTGTTCGTCGGACCCGCGCGATCGTACTTAAACAAAACAGTGAAAATAATATTATTTTAAATTTCCCGCACCATGGGGATTCTGTGCTATTTTCTGTTTCATTTCCGCTTTGTTTATCGTATTTTTAATCTGCTTACTCTAAAAATCAGAAAAAAATTAATAGTCCGCTCATTTTTTTTCACGATCCGCCTAAAAATTTCGCCTACAAAAATTAATAATATTATTATTTAACCGCTTGCCCGCTCGTACTTTTTTCATCAAATGTCCGACGAACAAGAAATTAAATTGGTGTGGCCTGAGAAATATGTCCATAGGAAATGAATGACCTACCAAGGGTTTGATAAGTAATGCAACATAAAAAAAATACACGACAAGGAACTCATTAAGTTCTAAGACAGTGCGATGTCTGAAACCTTCAAAATAAAGCGCTGAGACTGGTTCGTTGTCATGAACATTCAGGTAAGGTTATTATAATATCCGCCCGTTAAATTGTCTTTAAAAACAAACAAAAATTTATACATAGTGCCAATTCTAAGAATAGATTTAAATTTGGGCAACTGATACAATATTCAGTTTTCGAAGATTGATGATAAACGTAATTACTTGAACTTTTCTATCTTCAACTTTCCTTACGTATGGAGCAATATACCTTCATCCCAGTAGATTCGATACGCAAAAGTACATGTATGCTCTACGTATGAACAATTTAGAAAACAAGGACAACCAAGTTGATGAAACAAATATCAGCAGCCTCGTTTAATTTCATCATTTCGTAAATTGTATGGTCGATACAATGACATTGTCAGCATATACAATTTATTATTGAGTCAAATGCTTACTGACATTTTTTTAAACTAATCACTAGTCCATTATTTATTCACTGAGTTGAAAACGGATTTTTCCCGTTTTTCCAGACCATGACGAGGAGCACATGGCGGGTGTGACCGGTCGGCAGGGGATACTCACTCCTCCATGGCATCTGATCCCACCTCTGATGTCTATGAGGTCCATGTCTGCTTTTATTCTGTATTGTTTTAAGGACTTGTGGCCTTGAATATATTCCACAATACATTTTGGGATGTTTTACAAGACAGTCAAATGCACACGTGTGAAGTCATGATCGTCATCTGGAATATTATTTATTTCTTATGTTTAATTCATTAAAATGGACCTTTTATTTCAAAATATAAAGAAAAATTGTTATTTTAAATGTATTAGGCAACCGACAGCCTTTTATTGATAAAGTACTATAAGAAATCGCTATTAATAATCAAAAAGTCCGTTGTCAGTACATGTTAACTCAATCAGGTACATGTAAGGTGTCAGCTTTCTTAACATGGGAGGTTATCAGTAAAACAGAAATAATCAAGTATATATTTAATCTAAAAGAAATTCAAGCATATTATTAAATTTGATTTTGAATTTGGGGGTCGTCTTCAGGCAGCTCACACCAACATCCTAAATAGTATGTGATGTTTTTAGTTTCAATTCATTTTCTTTTAAGAACTTGCATACCAGTAGGCAAACATATACAATTCAAATAAAATGACAGATATACTATTTACACAAATTTTTATTTTTACAAATAACATTTATATTGAAAATTTATGTATTTACTGAATTAAGGGTAGAGATTGATAGAATCTCAACAAAAAACTACCAGTTGGAATTTTCTGAATTTATGTATGTTTGTGTCATTGTTCTAAATCATATCAATAATTCAAGGCAGGTCATCAGGCTAATATTTTTATTGTTATATCAATTACATTATGTAACATTGGTCACCCACGAACAATGATGATTCAACGGTATTACTCTTGTGGATTCCAATGATTTTTTGGATCGCAGAAACAACAATGATATAATTGTTGGTACAAAAAGAATGTTTTTATTAAAATATTTTTGCAAATTACCAATGAAAGGGAAGTATACATATCTTCACAAGATACACTTTAATTGTAAAAAAGGTAAATTGATGTAAGAAAATGGTGCATGTACATTACCGTAGAATAGGGTTGTAAAAAGAATAGAAAAATGTCCAAATTGATGTTGTTCAGTTGTGTTTAAATGAGTTATCTATCTGTTTCTTAGGGTTTTTCATTAGTCAGATATGATTTACATCACTTCAATATTATGTAAAAGAGTTTAATCCACGAACCATCAAATATGGCATCCGCAGGGGGAATAAGGAAGCATACAAAATATTCTACCTTGACTAAATCAGTGCTACATTATGACGTCATAGTAGGCGAGATGACGTCAATTTTAAAACACAAGTTTTCGTAATATTAGTATTTAGAGCTGTAATTTAACTATAGAAAAATGAATAGAAACGTGTAAACATAAATAAAATGAAATGCTCTTATTTTGTAATGCTGTATTCTGTCATTGTGATTAAGATCTACCACCCATGACGTCATATGTGTACATCAAGTAACTTGGGAATTGATCATGCAGTTTAAAGAGAATTTGGCTAATACGGCATGTACAATGATACGTAAAATGGAGTTTAACAGCAATATTGTATGATATTCATATGGAGTTCAGTTAATAAAACAGGTATGCTAATTTATTTTCATCGATTTTATTCCCTTTCGAAGACAGTCAGCCATATACGTATTCCGCTCGGCCTTTCCTCTGTCATTTGTGACAAAAATAATGCAACAGAGCAACAATAAGCTGAATATTTCAAAACATAAAATTTGTATGTATGAAAATTTTCTCTCCTAAAATAGTTGGAAAGTGCTGCTAGAATCCCGAGTTAAGCATGGTTTTATGAAAAATCTGGGTGCATATGTTAAAAATTCAAAACATCGGATAAGGTTTCGTGAGAATGTATGGAATAATTATTCTACTGACGGGACAGTTGGACGTTAGCAGCACTTTTTAGGCAAAATAGATGTTTTTCAACATTATTTACTCAAAGAAATTATCAAACTCCGGGGTATTGTTGTTCTATTAGCTTTTTTATTAAGGAAAATTTTGCTATTAATAGAAGTCACGTGATGCCGTG